TCAACAAATGAGCCCATGCTTGTCTCTCCCCTGAAATCCAGCTGTGCTTACAGGAACCAGGGACCTTGAAGTGCACGGATTTTGACCCTCTGCTTCCTAGAAACAGTGTGTGGGCCACCCACTCTGTCCAGTCTACATAAAAAAATCTTTCCTTTTGAAATCATGTTTTCAGTCCCTTAAGTGCTGGTGTGTTCCTGAGTCTTCTTTCTTCTTCTCACTGCACTCGCTCTCCTTGGGGGATGCTATCTACTGCCTTGATTTCTAGTATGCTCCACTGGGCCATTTTTAGGTTGATGAGGCCAACGTCTCGGCTGTGTTCTCAGCCTCTTTAAATTTTGACATGTCCCCAACTGAACTCCAGCCACATCGTCCCCTCATTCCAAACGTTATTGCACTACCAGGTGTGCTGGCCAGAAATCTTACCATCTGCAACTCCTCCCACACATCTTTAATCATCAACCATCTAAATCTCTCTCCTAAGTACTTCTCTGATGTTGATTACTGGAAGTGTCCTAGTCATTCTCCAGTCTCCAGTCTTGTCCCTTGGTGATCCATTTTCTATACTGAAGCAAAACATGGTCTTTCTAAAATGGAAATATTACTATCCGCCTGCTTAAAACTCTTTGGTGTGCCTCACTTGCCCAAGTGCAATATATCTTCTGATGCCCTTAACAGCTCCACTGCTACTAACTTCTCCTCTGCATCACTGACAACGCTGCGCATCCCCTATGTCCCAGCAATACTTAGCTGTCCATATCACCTGACAGGCCATGTTTTCCTTCTCTCGGGGTCTTTGCATGCGCTGTTCTCTCAAAATACTCTGCAGCTCCTTTCTCTATTACTGTCCCCAATTAACCCAACTTTCTCCAATTTCACCTGAATTACCCCCCTTATTTAGATTACATCACCACCAAACCATGCTAAAAGGTGTTCGTTAAAAAGAGGAAACAGAAGAAAAAATTAAAGATAAAAATTATGAACAACAAATACACATCTATCAACAAGTGAATCTAAAAGTCAAGTAAATTAAAAATCTGAGGAACAGAATAAACTGGTAATATAATAGAATCAGGGGCATAGAATGGGAGGAGATTGATAATTCTTAGGGGAAAAGGGGTGTCTGTGTGAAGGGTACGGGAAGACTGGACAAAAATCATATACCTATGGATAAGGACAGCAGAAGGGAGGGGAGGGAGGAAGTAAGGGCAGAGGGTGGAGTGGGGACCAGGTGGAGGGGAGTTATGGGGAGGGGGGAGAGGGGAGAAAGGAGAAACAATTGTAATAATCTGAACAATAAAGATTTATATAAAATTTTAAAAAATAGATTACAGCTTATTCAAAGCCCAAGATTCCTTATCTGAAATGGGAGTTAGATATTACTCAGGTGTGATCCTTTAGCAACCTGTGTCACACTCTTAAACTTCATAGTAAGTGATTGTTTGTCAGTGTTATGTCCAAACCAGCCACCAGCTCCATGAATGCAAGAACCACATCTGCCCCAATACTGCTGGGCCCCCCGATCTAATAAGGTGTTAGGTACTAGTACATAGAGGGTGAGATGAATAAGTTAGATACAACTGGGTGGGGGGCTTGAAATTCTCAGTGGTCTGTGGAGGAGCTAACCTCTTTTTCTTAAAGAAAGAAGGTAAAGCAATAGCCAGCCCAGGTAACACTTCTCTTCTCTATCTCTTAGTGTATCCTATAGTGACATCATACTAAGAGAGTTGAAGTTCTTGCCTGTCTCTTCCCTGGAGGCTCCACCCATGGTGAACATTTTCCTGGCCTTCCAGAGCATCCCAACCACAGTTAGATTCTTAACATATTTGCCTTAATACTTCTAAATAAAGCTTTATTATTTTTTAACTCCAGAAAAAGTTTCCTAACTGGTTTTTCCACGTTTGCCCATTCCCTGTGTTTCCTACTCTGTCATTTTCCCCCTGCTGCCAGGGTGAGCTGTCCTAGCTATCCATCAGATAGGTCCTTCTCCTTTCTACTGTGGAAAATATTTAGCTGCTCTCGCTAGCAATGGCTTTCATCCTTGACTATTCAAGTAAAAAGCTTTTAAATAAAAATGGATGGCTGGGGTCCACCTCAAACCAGCTGCATCTTAATCCCAGAGAGGCTTAAGCATCTGTGATTCGGAGGAGTGACCTGTGTTAAAGACCACAGAATGCCGTATGTTCTTTTTCCTAATCCAGCTCGTGCCCACTTCTGTCCCATCAACTGCCACCTCCTCACATACTTTGTGTGTTCCAGTAATAAATATCATGTGCCTTTTGTTCATGTACACTTTGCCCATCCAGACTTCCATACTGGCTTCATGCTGTTGCTCCCACTGAGACCCTCGTATTTGCCTTTGTTGCTCCATTGACTTCATCTCATCATTAGGGAACCAGCTGAGGTATCTTTTCCATGGATCCATCTTTGACTTTCCACCCACCCCACAACTCATGCTCTTCCAAGTCCAGATTTCCAGATGGGTTCACAACTGCTCTTTTGGGCTCCCATAAGAACCTAGCTTATAAATGTCATCCTCACTGCCATTACACTTTATTTAAATCATCTGTTCATATGAATGTTTCCCCCACTAGACTGTGATGCACTGGAGAGTGAGGATCTGGTGGTCTCTATGACCAGAAGGTCAGGACTGCTAGTCAGGGACACCCAGAGGCCAATGCATGACTTAGGACCAAAGCCATCTTTCTATAGAGGTGATGTTTGCATAGAGAATTTGACAAATATTTCTAGAACCTCCTTTCCCATGAGGTTTTCAAGCCTTACCATTGAAATGACTCTGGATCTTTGTTAAAAATTGCAAGAGGCAAAATGAATAATGGCAGCCCAGATGAGTGCTAACAGATTCCGATTTCACATATAACACTTGAAATAGGAGCTGGAAAAACAATCTAGAAGAATTTCCTAATTTGTTCTAGTTGTTTACTGACTTTGACCTCTGTCTTTAGAGCTGACAAAGAAGAGAGAGCAAAGGTTGTGGAATGTGAGTCTGTGTGTGTATGTCCTGCCTAGTTGGCATAGTTAAAGATTCTGTCCTTGGGAACACTCTAGCTTAGCTTTTCTGAGCCCTCTTCTTGATCAGACCTGAAACTCGGCCTATAAAAACCATAGATTCTCAGTACAGATAATTCCATCTACCACAACACACTGTCATATTAAAAGACTTGAACAAACACTTACATAGTTTTTAACAACTCAAGGCAGCATCCCTAGGAGATGACTTCTGCCCTCTTTAGTTCCTGTCAGGGAAAGCTCAGGGCTGCCGAAAGGAATTTCTGATTGTTTTCAGCCAACACCTGAAGACAGACCCCGTTTCCCAGTCTCTGTGGGAGGACAGAAGTAAAACTTTGATAATAAGCAACAGTGGGCAAACTCAGATAAGTTTCACATGGAACAACTCCCTTTAAAAAATTTCCATTCCCCCAACTCTGTTCAAGCCAAAGAAATTTCCCATTCCCACTCCCTTACTCACCCTTTAAAATATCCAGTCACCTCTGCATAAATTGAAGTTGAGTTCAGTTCATGCTGGGCCCTCTTCCCTATTGCAATAGTTTATCACTGATTAAAAATATATATTGCCACCTTAATTAGTATCTAGCTTTGTTTGTCTTTGGTAAAATTAAAAAAAAAATAAACTTGATATCCTGGTAGATCTGATTCCTGAGGTTGATGTAGCACTTAGTAGGGTGACTGTCCCCAGAAACAGGTCAGTGGACAAGAGAATGACAAAAACTGACCAAGTGACGGTTGGAGGAAAGAATGGTTCAGATGAAGGCATTAGGGAAAACACATTTTAAAGAAACACTATTATGAATACAACAAGTATTTGGATCCTCAGTTAAACATATTCGAAGAAATATTCTCAGTGGTAAGGATATTTAAATAGAGAACTGGCCTGGTCCTGTAAACGTATTCTCATGTGTTTTCTCTGTTCTGCTAAATATATTGTTTTCTAAGCCTTTAATTGTTTCTACCTATTAAATACAACTTTTATGAAAATTAGCCTCATGAGTTTATATGCTCAAGAAAATGTTAATGTAAGAAAATGTATTAGTTGACTTAGGAATATTACTTCATTCATACAATAGGAACTTTTTTGTTTATTCTTTAGCCATGTTCTGGCCTTTAACATTTGTTTCTTTGACAGTTATACAGGCAGTTTTATCATTTAATCATATGCCTTAAAGGTCCAAAAAGAAAACTTAGGTTAAGACAATTAAAACAGTTGAGATGCCCAATAAATTACTTAGATCCATTCACTTTGCATCAATGCATAACATATTCCAAAAGCAAGCACAAATCAACTTTAAAATGGAATAGTCTTAGTTGGGTTCAATAACTGCATAAATGGTCAGTTTTCATTGCATATGCGTTGGGGCATGCATTTCATTCCTTATTGATCTGCTTTATTGAATTAACATATCAATTATGTGTTTTTGCAAGGAGCAGGAACAATAATTGCAGAAAGGATCAGTGGTGGAGAATGCACCTCACTCTGCACAGAACATATAGGGCAGATCATGAACAACAGCTAACTCCCAGAGATACCCAAGTGGCACATCCTGGCACAGAGGGTAAGTATAATGTTTATTAATCTAAAAAATGAGAAAATATTATAAAAATATAAGAAATAGAAAAATTCCAGACAAGTTAAAATACAGAAAAAATTTAAGCCAAGTCTTTTGAATCAGGCAATATTTAGTGTATCAAATAGTAACCTTAATAGCTAGAGTAATCTAAACCCAGGGCACCAACCATGTCAAAAGGCAGCAGGCATGCTGACTACCCAGAATCCTTTGCCAAGGTTAGTGTTCCATGATTGCTGACTTAGGCACCCCTGTGGTAACAAGAGTACTTGTTTGTTATTGATACTATAAAAATAACCATTCTTTAAATGATTACACATAGTAAATAAAATTAGGATTATACATAAGGATTTGAATAATTTCAATTTCCTTAAGGACCACTTGCAATCTCTGCCTGTTTCACAGACCTGTAGGAGAGAAACAAAACAAAACAAAACAAAATGTGCTTAATGACACGTCTATAATGTAGCATTTTTTTTTTTTTTAAAAAAAGATGTGTCAACTTTATCGATTTATCTACTGATGAAAAGTTAGGCTGTTTCCTATCGTGGCTATTATAAATAAGGCTGCAATGAACATGGCTTTATGAGACCATTTTGTATGTAACCATTTATTTAGACAGTATTGTGCAGACATAAATATATAACTGTGTGTGTCTGTGTCATATACAACAAAACTAAAGTATATATAATATACCGTGTTGTGACTCACATTTTATGTAAAAATATAAAAATGTTTTCCATATTAGAATATACTAGTATATAGAAATAGGTAGGTAGATCTATCCAGTTAATATATGTATATACCCGGAAAATATATGTATATACCCAGTTATTATATGTATCACCCATAGTCCATTATGTAGATTGCTATACATTTTTAATAAATCCTCTTTTGTTGATCATTAGATGATTTTAAAATTTTTACAAGTTTTATATTTTTTTATTATAAGACGGTTTTCATGTTTATTATAAAACATGTGCAATGAACATAATAATATTCTGATAACTACACAGTGCTGCATTGTACAAATTTTTTTTTAGGTGATTTATTAATTTAGAATGATTGGGTCAGTGAGTAATCAGGGCAGAACAAAACTGAATGAGCTGCCAAAGTAGAGGGTCTACTTTTCATTTTATGTAGAAGCCGGGTGACCATTTGGTAGGGGTTGTGCAGAGAAATGACCAGCATGATAGTGGAAGAGACGTAACCGGTTTTACATTCTTTCTAATTTTGAAATGCTGTGACTCTGAGTGCTAAGAACAAAATCAACCTTTGCTCCTCTCTGTGACATACTTGAGAGAATATACTATGAACTGCTCATGTCTATATATTCACTTCATAGGCTAGATCTGAAATTGTTCTGAGATGTTGTGTCTCCGGGATATATTTAAAGGTGCTACAGAGTCTGTGGACTGCACAGTGGGAGAATATGTTTTCATCTCACATATGTTTAAAAGTGATTTTCCTGCCAAGAAGAAGAGTTCAAATTCCCTTTCTACCTCCCCAGGGAGCACAGATTCAGTGAGGAGCCAGAGAGCCACACAACATCACAGAAAGAAGGAAACCTTTGTGCAGAGGACTTGGAGGAAAATCTTTTTCTTTTTCTTTTTTCTCGTTATAGGCCATGAAGACTATTTTAGAAAATCTGATCCTTGGGCAGTTTTGGATAGTACCCATAATCACCCGACATTAATAGTAAGCACCCTGAGCGAACGTACCAGAGTAGACCAGAGTAGGACAAGAAGAGCACGGAACACAAAGAAGAAGGTCAGTAGAACCTGCAGGATGGGAGAAAGAGAGAGAGGGATAACACGCTGCACCGGGAAGCATCTGTTAAACACAATTCCCCCTGGTTTAACCAACTTCGAGTGAGAATGAAATGAAATTCATAGTAAAATTACATTTATACTATACAGTGAACTGCAATCACATATTTTAACTGTTCAATAGTGAGTATTCTTTCACATCATAATTCAGTCATGTTCAATTTAAACTTTTTTTTATTTTTAAATAAAATCCAGCCCTAAATGCCCCCTCTGAATAGTGTTAGGAATACACATGTCAGTTGCAGGAAGACACTATCTCAATGCAAGTTGTAATGCTTATGATCAGCATGGGTTAGGCAGGAAAGCAGTACCCTACAGGCTGTTACCTTAACACAGCTTATTCTGGATTGGATATATACATGTCACAGTACTGTGATGCTGTAACATTTGTAATTTCATGTTATCATCACAAAGTTATTGAGCTTTACATGAAATAGTGCATATAGATACATATATACTACATCTATAATACTGCATGCTAAATGTAATTACTCTGAATATATCCCTAAGGCAGGAGAGTAAACCTAGTGGGAAAAGTTTAAAACCATGAGGAAATAAAAAGGATAAAAGCAGTGAAATAAAGGAATCAGTACACATCAAAGATGTTAAAGGGTCTTAAAAGTCCTACAATTAAAATAACTATTTAACCTGATATTTAGCAAAGTGATTAGATGATAGAATTTTATGTAACTCACTTTTAAAAATTCTATAGAGATTCATTGGTGGGTATTGCTGCAATATCAATGCAATTATTGGTTTATATAATTCAGCAGTGAAAGAGAAAAAGCATAGATTTGTACTCAATAGACCAGAATTCAAATCGTGGCCCCATCCCTTCCTATATACTAGTAGGTGAGCTTGAGTCAGTAGCATTGCTCAGAATTCTCCACTGAGGATTCTTATTAAAAAAAAATGCCTTTACAAGTATCATTAAGTAGTGGGCATTTGATGGTTTTACAGTATTCAACTTTATATAAATAGGAACTACAAAGTACATTTGGAGTGAAGGTGGTCGTGATGATTTTATATGGAAAGGATGCTATATTTAATAAAGCTGGAGAACTTGGTACATTTTTAGAAATCTTAAACATGGAAGGATTTTGAAACAAAATAATGATGCATTCATCTTTGGCTTGAATTAATGCTCTATATTAGAGGTTCTCAAATTTTAAGGGTATCAGGTTAACTGGAGTGCTTTTTAAAACACAGATTGCTGTGGGCTCCACTATCAGAGTTTCTGACTTTAGGAAATGTGGGGTGGAGGCCAAGGGAATTGCATTTCTTACAAGTTCCTAAGATGTTGCTGTTTATGGACCACAGGTTGAATATCAATATTTCAGGTCACATGGACTTCAGGGTGAAGAATAAAGCCAGCTGTGGCCTGACATACTTGAAGAAAAAGGAGTAGTGAAGTGTGTGGGCACCAAACAAAATCAAAGTGTAGAGTATCTTAAGGGCAGGAGGTTTGGAACAGACATCCTATATAATAAAGAGCTAATATGCTAATTAGACCAGTTGGCGAAACGACCTTCCAGAACTACCAGTGGGAAGGGCCGCAAGGCAACCAGGCTGTGAGGGCCAAGCCCTGGCATGAATTTCGTGCATTGGGCCTCTAGTTAGAATATAATAATCTAAAATTTTAAAGTTGGATGCTATTTCACATTTGACAAAAATAAATAAATAAAATAAAAAAATACATTGCCATAGAAGACCATTACATTTGAGATAGTCAAGGAATGATAATGGTAGGACATTGGATAAGTCACCCACTTAATAATCAAATTTTCCTAATAGGAATTGTGGTAGAGAGGAAAACAGCAAGCCAAATGTAAGTGCTCCATATGAAAGAACAGAAGTAGGATTATAGTGACAGAGAAACTGGACAGCAGGACAAATGGTGTGAATCTAAAAAAGGGAGCGTTTCAAGTAGACTGTTTCATGCTTCCTCATGGTGCAAGCACCATGTCAAGACACGTGGCAACTGAAAGAAGGATCAACTTCCCTGGGGAAGGAAGCAGTGTCTTCTAGAAGAACCCATTTCAAATAAGGCAAAGAAAGGCATGGGGAGTGTTAAATGAATAGCATCAAAGGAGAATCAGTTTGCAAATCAAATTCCATTTGCACAGGGTACAGGGGAAAGTTCTGAGAAATATATCAATGATGGTAAAGAATACAAAACATGAGATGGTTTTACTTTGACAGGGGCAGTAGGGCAAGACAGAGTGGCTCAGGGTAACAGGAATAAAAAAACAGAAGTAACTGATCTCAAGTTTCTGACCTGAACTTTGGTACAACATCGTTCTAATATAGCAACAACTTTACATGGCTTCCCTCTGTGAAGTGGGACTACATGTCAGGGGATAGCCCATTACTTTTCATACTTGGGGGAATGCAAGGAATGAAGCAGCTTTTGTGTGGTGAGGGAAGAGAGAACAAAGCAAGCAAGCAAGGAGCCATACATTCTAGAAATAAAGGTGATTTGTTTACGCATAGAGCTTCCTTCTTTTCTTCTGGAATGCTGTATGTACAGGTTTATTCAGTAAAAACCAGCGGCACAAATCACCTGAGGCAATGCGTTTGAAATGTGTGTGTGGGGATTGACATAAAAGGCTGCATTAAAGCACCACACTCTTTGCAACTCTGAATTACCATGACCCCAGAGGAGAACACAGTGAACATGTGAAGTGTCATTGAACATATCATGTTTGGTCATGTGTGTACTGATAAAACCACTTACTACATAACGCTGTCCATGTTCCTAATCATGGCCTTCCTGAGTAATCAGAAGATGCGACTTGGGCTTGGCCACTTCTCGAGTCACTTCACCCATCAGAACTAAATTTAATTATGCATTCATCCAATTCATCCAGTAGATATAAAAATACTTATTAAATAATTGTGTGCTAAATGCTTACAATGTAAAATATGAATATTACAACAAAATGTTCCCTAATGGGTTAATTTTTGGAATTAAATACGTGTTAAGCAATTTATAAATTTATAAAGCCTAGATAACTAGTGGAAACTTTCTGAAAATTGTTGTGAATGTTAACAAATGGGTAATCTTTTTGAAGATTATGAAGGAGAAAGTCACGTGGAATTTACATTTCAGAATATAAATAAAAACTCTGTTTTTGGACTGAAGAATGTTTAATTATACTAAAGTTGATATAGAGTTTGGGGATATTTAGTCAACATTTCATAACAAGTCATTTCGAAGACATTTGGCAGCATGCTTTGAACAGTTGTTCTATTTTAAATAGCTTATTATGGAATTGAAAACATGCTTAATGTAATTACTAAATGTTGTTTATTTTATTCTGTCAAAATTTTATTTTTTTATGTTTATCAAATATGCCTCCCTTAATTTTCTGGATGACTTTGCCTGTAGATAATAATTCAGAGCACAGTGTAAATATAACTAAATCAAGTTGAAGTTATATTAAAAGCAGATTTCCTACCCGTGTATTACTGCTTATTTCTTTACATGTCACTTTCCCTATTTTCATGTTTCATAGTATTTTCTTTATGATACAAACTCTTTCAGTGCTCAGTGAAATAATTCCTCTCTTGATACTATTTATACACACATTTCTCCCACCTTCCCTCTTCATTTAGCTTCTTGAGATGGAATGACATTTCACACTAGAACATATGACCTTCGATTAAGTTAGAATGTAAATTGCACTTATTAATCATGTACCCTTGGGAAAGGGTATTTAATAAATCTAAGATTGTAAAATCAGAGTACTATCACTCACACATTCATTTGTCAAGAGGATAAAAGGAGATACTGCAAACATTTAATAAATGTCAGTCCTATTCCATTTCCTCATCTTTTAGAGGGCATGTGTTTCTATATAACCTTAAAATGTCAATTACTCATAATAGGTTTTAAAAATGGAATTCTGTAATTCTAAATATATCTCCCAAGTTGACTTGGTAGTTTTATTGTATATTAGTGGCCAGATTCATGAACATTGAAAAAAAATTAATTAGAAAAAACATTTTAATATTCACCCTTTTCTCTATAATAGAAGTGTCAGAGATTAAAGAAACTTAGGGAAACTGTCTTTGAATTAACTTAGATGGGAGACCAGAATCAGATGGGGACAAATATTGCTCATGCAGGAGTCAATGTTATGTATAAACTAAAAGCCTGGTGCATGAATTCATGCACTGGTGGGGTCCTTTGGCCTGGCCTGTGCTCTCTTGCAATCTGAGACCCCTTGGGAGATATCAGAGAGCTGGTTTCAGCCCAATTCCCATAGGCCAGGCTAAGGGACCCCACCAGTGCACAAATCCATCCCCTGGGCTTCTAGTATACATATAAGATCTTTGGTTAATCTCTTCCCACCTTTCCCTCTGAGATTCATCAGTTTGTTCCATGTTTCCATGCTTGTACATTGAGTGTCTGCCCCCTGGTGGCCAGTGAACATCATAGCTACCGGTCAAAAGGCTTTTATATATATAGATTAAGCTATGGGAAAATTTCCCCAATTTATTATTAAATTAATATTGATTAAAATATATGCTAGTTCTCTTAGTGAGAAAGACTTATTAAGCACAATGTGTTTAGATTATTGATTACCCCCCTCCCCTTTAGTTGGAGAAAAGTAAGTAAGTGTGAAATAGGAAGAAAAGGGTAATATGCAAACTGTCCTCTTGACTGGGAGTTTGACTGGAGTTCAACTAGGGAGCAGGGCTAGCCCACCAACTTCTCGTAGCCCCTCCCCCCACCTGACCCTACCCCTGATCAGCTTCCCCACCCCCATCAAAAGCAGGGCTGGCCTGCCAACCATCTATAGTTCCTCCCCTCTGCTGGCCCAGCCCAATTGGCCCCAATTGTGGTGGTCCAGCCAGACCCCACCCATGCAAGAATGTGTGCACCAGACCTCTAGTGAAATAATAAGGAAATTGATGATGGAGTGGCTATATGGACCCCATTGGTA